TTCCTCTGGTGACAGCTATTAAACCTTAGGAACCACTTCCATCTATAGCAGTCCCTCCAAAATAGACTGTAGAGATGGTTTGTGAGTGGTAAATTCTCTCAGCTTTTGCTTATCTGGGAATTATTTAATCCCTCCTTCAAATTTAAATGATAATCTTGCTGGATAAAGTAATCTTGGGTCCAGGCCCTTCAGCTTCATTGCATTGAATATCATCCTGCACTCCCTTCTCGCCTGTAAGGTTTCTGCTGAGAAGTCTGATGTTAGCTTGATTAGCTTTCCTTTGTATGTGATCTTATTTCTTTTCTCTGGCTGCTTTTAATAGTCTGTCCTTATCCTTGATCTTTGCTAATTTTGTTACTCTAAGTCTTGGTGTTGTCTTCCTTCGGTCCGTTGTGTTGGGAGATGTGTGGATCTCCATGGCCTGAGAGACTATCTCCTTCCCCAGACTGGGGAAGTTTTCAGCTACTACCTCCTCAAAGACACTTTCTATCCCTTTCTCTTTCTCTTCTTCTGATATTCCTATAATGCGAATATTGTTCCATTTGGATTGATGACACAGTTCTCTCAATATTCTTTCTTTCTTAGAGATCCTTTCTTCTGTCTGTGCCTCAGCCTCTTTGTATTCCTCTTCTGTAGTTTGTATTTCATTTATCGTCTCCTCCACTGTATCCACTTTTAATACCCTCCATCGTGTTCTTCAGTGGTTGGATCTCCGACCTGAATTCATTCCTGAGTTCTTGGATATCTTTCCATACCTCCATTAGCCTATTGTTGATTTTTATTTTGAACTCCCTTTCAGGAAGAGTCGGAAGGTCCATGTCATTTAAATCTTTCTCTGCAGTTATATTAATTTTACTCTGGATCAGGTTCCCTTACCATTTCATATTTGTATATTGTGCCCATAAGTGTCCAGAAGCTCCACTCTGGAGCTGCTCTGCCCCTGAAGCAATGTCAGGGGTTGCAGGGGAGCAGTATTGGTGCCTGGGTGGAGGAAAGAGCTGTTCCCGGCTTCTGGCTGCTGTGCCTGTCTCCACTGCACTTAGCCAGTGGGCCGAGCACACAGGTATAAGCTTTTGTCCCAGAGCTAATTGTCCCGCCCTGCCCCTTTAAGACTTCCAAAAAGCACTTGCCAAAACAAAACAACAACAGAAAAAAAAATTTAAAAATAAGAAAAAAAAGCTGCTTGCTTTTCTTTGTCCTCAGGTGCCGGTCTCAGGCATCTGCTCACTGGTCTTGCTGCCCTGTTTTCCTAGTATTGGGGTTCCTGTCCCTTTAAGACTTCCAGAAAGCACTCGCCAAAAAAAGAAGAAAGAAAAAAAAATGGCCGCTTGCTTTTCTTTGTTCTCCGGCGCCAGCCTCTGGTACCTGCTCACCAGTCTTGCTGGCCTATTTCCCTAGTATCGAGTACCCCACGCATGCACTGTGTCTGCGCTCTGGTCTGGATGGCTGGGGCTGGGTGTTCAGCAGTCCTGGGCTCCGTCTCCTTCCCCGCTCTGACCCCTCTCCTCCTGCTGGGAGCTGGGGGGAGGGGCGCTCAGGTCCCGCTGGGCTGGGGCTTGTATCTTACCCCTTCACGAGGCTCTGGGTTCTCACAGGTGTGGATGCGGTCTGGATGTTGTCCTGTGTCCTCTGGTCTATGTTCTAGGAAGAGTTGTCTTTGTTATATTTTCATAGATATATGTGGTTTTGGGAGGAGATTTCTGCTGCTCTACTCACGCCGCCATCTTGGCTCCACCTCAGTTATGTGATTTTTATATAGAATTCAGTTTTTAGTGAAGAAAAGTTAGCTTTGCTTACTGAATTAAAAAGTGTGAGTAGGGCCATTTATAAGATGTTAACAATGTGGAACATTTCACTGATTTGACTTAAAACTATGGAATAAAAATAATATGTTTCCTTGCGCTCTGGGCAAGAGATTTATTGATATTTATATATAAGCATGAATATTACATACTCAAAAATTTAAAAAACATTCAGATTATCTTACCTGTGATAATCTTTTTGAAAGAATTAGAGGTCATTTCTGATCCTGAAAACTAGGAAAAAGAATAACAGATAGACATTTAAATACATACTAATTAGGATTACGGTTTCTCCATTTAGATTAATAGCTCAGAATCAGAGTCCTGGTTATGTAGAACAAAAAGCAATGGCCGCAGTAGGAGAGAGGGAAGAGTCATGAAATCCTTATCACCAGAGGTAACCTTTGAAGGGAAAAAGGAACTTATTTTAAAAAATTATAATGTAGCCTCAAATTTCCCTACATATTAGTAGGTCAGGCATTCCATTCACATACTTGTTTTTCAAGAAGCAAGTCAAACCAATAGATGGACTGAAGATACCGTTCATACCAGGGGTGGGCCAACTTTTTTTTGTAATGGCCTGATAGCAAGTATTTTAGCTTTGTTGGGCCGGGTGGTCCTGTTGCAGCGGCTCATCTCTGCTGTCACAGTGCAAAATTAGCTGTAGGCATGTGTAAATGAATGGACATGGCTGTTCCGGTAAAACTTTATCTACAAAAGCAGGCAATATGCCTTTTGACTGGAAGGTCATAGTTTGCCAGCCTTTGGTTTATACTTGAAATAAATGATGACATCCTTTAACTGGATTTGAGGATTGTTCTAGTCTGTGACACTCAGCCAGGAGAGCTGCGTTTGTGATACTGGATCATTACTTCCCATTGGCCTTGCATTACAGACCTCAAGTGTACCTGTAGTCCAGTCTCACAGTAAAATTCAGTTGTTAAATTAGCTTTACTTCTCCCCTCCACGTTTTCATCCCACCCAGACCCCCCGTAGTGCAGCTGCAGAGATAGTACATGCCTCCCAGCATGGCGGGGAGGGGCAGCTATGCCAGCAGCATCTGCCACCAAGGAGAGGTCAGCACGGGACATAAATTGGCATATTATCTATTGGCCATTTCAGCAGATTCTAAATGAACCAGAGGAACTAGTTAAAGGTGGAATTTTATGATGCATTTGTAATAGATGCAAACAGTTTGTCTTGTTTGTACATTTGAAAACAGTTTCTCATGATAGGTTCATATTTTGCTTATTAGACTTCTTTACAGGAAGCATATACCTTCTATCCTCATTACTCCTGGATTCTATTTTCGAGAATTTGCCTACTTGCTAAAATTTAACCCCAAAAGCAACACCAAAGCAATACTTGTGGATGTTAGCAGAGCAGCAATAAATTTCATTTGCTTGATGAGCACATTCTAACCTAGCCAGAACAAGGTAATGCTCTGCTTTCTTGTTTTAGTTTTCGTGCTGTAAACAGGTGTCCTTCTGCAGTCTACATAGTGCCATGTTTTTTTTGCATTTTGAGCTGTTTTGTTGATTATTTTGCTGCTTAAAATGACTCTCAAGCATCGTGCTTCTAAATCCAGGGAAGCTGTGATGTGCCTTAGGAAGAAAATATGTGTGTTAGATAACCTTCATTCAGGCATGAGTTATAGTTCTGTTGTCTGTGAGTTCAATGTTAATGAATCAACACTGTATATAATACAGGGTGTCTTTTAACAGAAACACATGTAAAACAAGGTTTCGTATTTACTGGTTGGAATGTTGTGACCAGAGGCCCACAGGTACCTCACCCTGTATTTCTCTTAGGAACCATGGTTCTGTATCTGATCATTCAGGGTTCATAGTCATCTTACAGAACACAACCACCATGGATAATGAGGACTGACTGTATTTCTTTGAGTGCAATTATAAAGGAGAATATTCAGAGTGGTATTTAATGAATTCCATTGCCAACGAAAGATGCCTCTAACTATCCTTACGTTGTCTAGGTTCTCATGCTGTTCCTTTCTTCCAAGAATTCTCTCCAAATCTTGTCATTTCTTCAAAGTTCTTTTAAATGAAGTCTTTCCTTTTACCACTAGCAGTAATTTTTGTCTTCCTCTTTTCCTGGAGAATTTTGCCATTAATACTGGTTTGGTATCAGCCCCTCTCTGATTCTGTTTTGTTTCATCCTATATCACGCATATTAGACTTGGACCCACATGAGTCTGTGAGCTGCTTCAGGGAAATGTGGCATTGCTCACATTTATTGCTTATCTTTTCTCTTTCTTCCTCTCTTCTGATTCTCCTTCTGTCCACAATCATTCTCTAATTTCTCTACTACTAATAATTTCCCTCTTCTATTGTCCTACTATTCCTTCTTTATTTTTATTCCCAGGTTTCTCAAAAGAATAGTCCCCACTCTCAGACTCTTTTTAGTCATTTCCAACATCTTTTTAACTTAGTGCAGTGCATCTTTATGCATAATAAATGCCTAGTTATTTATTAAAATGTAGAAATGCATGTACTTTTAAAATTAATAGGTCCTAGCTTAATCGAATTTATGTTTGAGAGTATCTTGATTTGAATCTCAGTTCTGCTGCTGCTTAATGTTACTTAATGAGGCACATAAGTTCTCAGTCTCTTCTTTAGATGCAATGTCATTATTTACCTATAAGGCTTTATGATTTCTGAATGAAATAATGTGTATATACTTGTTTAATTTTTTTTTAAATTTTGAGTTGGTGTTACAGTATGCTATTTAAGCAAATCAGTAACTCATGTGAATTCATAATTTTGCCTTAATTAGTTCAAGGCTTTCCCATCTAAAACATGATTTCCAAGGTCTGTCTGAGTTCATGTGTGCTCTTTTTGATTTTTTTTTTTTGAGAGGGCATCTCTCATATTCATTGATCAAATGGTTGTTAACAACAATAAAATTCTGTATAGGGGACTCAATGCACAATCATTAATCAACCCCAAGCCTAATTCTCAACAGTCTCTAATCTTCTGAAGCATAACGAACAAGTTCTTACATGGTGAACAAATTCTTACATAGTGAATAAGTTCTTACATGGTGAACAGTGCAAGGGCATTCATCACAGAAACTTGGTTTTGATCACGCATTATGAACTATAAACAATCAGGTCAAATATGAATATTAATTTGATTTTTATATTTGATTTATATGTGAATCTTTTTAATTTTTTTAAAGGAAAAATTGAGGCTTCTGATATTGTCCAGTCCCTCCAAATACTGGGTCTAACTATTTCTGAACAACAGGCAGAGTTGATTCTTCAAAGGTAAGCTCTTCATTTTATTGATAATTTTTTTAACTTTAATTTCAATATCCTGCATTAGAGATCTGTGTTGTAAGTGTGGCTTAAAGCAACTTCCTGCACTTTACCATTCCTCATTACATGTGTTCAGTACCCTTCTTCCCTTTGTCTTCCCTTTTGTTTTGGATGTACACATACATCTAAAGGGTGGGAACTGGAAATGTAATCTCAAACTGGAGTCTGTCCCAAGGCCTTAGGGGAAGTGGAATGGTAGTAAGGTATTAAATCTATGGAGAAGGAACCTCAGAGTTTTAGTGCTGCCATTTTCTCCACTTGGTTTCTAGAAATCATTATGTCAGGGATCAGATGAATAATGTTCATCACATTATTTGATTCGTATGTGACTGGACACAGGAGAAATTCCAGAGCTTTCCTAGCTGACTTAAACTTTCAAACTTTTAAAAGAAACACCTATTTAAACTTTCAGGAATTTGAATATAATTGGTCAGGATAATCAGCTCAGCTATTAAGTCAGACCTTTACAGACTTAATGTTTTATTTCCCAGGATAGAGCAATAATCTCTAAACTGTAAGTGTCCTTGAAGACTCTTTTGTTAAAAACACACTACAGGGGCTAATATTTTTAAGATAACAAGAAAACAGGGCAGTTATGTTATATTCTTGTGAATATTTTTAGTCTTCAACATTATCTAAAAGGTTTCTTCTAAGTGGCTTTATTATTGAATTTATCTACTTTTATATCTGCATCAGTAGCATTTTCTTCCTATTTGCTCAAAATTTCTTTTATAAGCAGCTGTTCAGTAGGAAAGCCCCAAGTCTCAGAGCTGATCACGGTGTTACTTTTGTTAACACTAAATGAGGTTCATCCACATTGTAGCATGTCTCAGTACTTCATTTCTGTTTTAGACCAAGTGATATTCCATTATAAGTACATATCACATTTTGTTTATCCATTCATCAAAGATGGCATTTGGGTTGTTTCCAGTTTTTGGCTATTCTGAATAATGTTGCTATGAACTTTCATGTACAAGTTTTCATGTGAACATATGTTTTCAAATGAAATTACTAGTACGATGTGTTCTTTCAAATATAGCAGCAATAAGAAATAGTATTATACACAGCAGTCATAGTAATATAACTCCTTTCAGATTCCCGGATCCAATGCCACTGTGTGTGAGTATGTGAGAGGGGGGTCTTTCCACACATAACACCAAGCAATTCTTGAACACCTGCAGGGTGTTGGAGAAGTCAACTCAATTCTGATGCTATCTGCCTGGGGATGGCACCAGATTCCCCAGGGTAAGGGCTCCATCCTAAAACACTGCATTCCATGCCCCACTCCAGATGCCAGTCATAAGCCCTGGGCGATTAATCTGTGCTTCTGATCTACTGGCTACAGACTGGGGGTTCCAACTGTTGCTGGGCAGCTGCATCTAGGGAGGTCTTTCCCTGTGCACCAGGTGAAACCTCAACCTGGACGGGGGAGGGTTCTTGACTCTGAACAAGAAAGAATTCTCAGGCAGGTCAGAAGAGTATAGGAAAGGAAGGAATTCATCAAAGCAAGAGCAGCAGAATAGCAGCTGCCTTGCAGGGAGAAGAGAGCAAGAAAGCTGAAGTAGGACAGAGAGAGTGAAGGCTTGTGCTGAAGTCTAGAAAATAGAATGAAATAACGAAGTAACGAAGATGCTTACTATTGGAAGAGTGCAAAGACAAAATGCAATCAAGTTGAGCAGTGAGAAAGCTTTATTTAAAGGTACACACTTAAAGAAAAAGTGTGGGCATCCTCAGAGAGGAGGTTTGCCTAAAAGACTGGGAGTTCCCTCTTTTAAGCATTTTCAGGAATGTGACAAAGGGCCAGGAGGTGTAGACTTGTCAAGTGGTCTCAAGATGCTTATTTCTGGTGAGAGACACTGTGTCTCCTCTCCTCTAACATCAGTCCTCCAGCTAATTCTGGAAAATAAACTTAACCCAAGAAATTTATTGATCCAGTTCCTCCTGAGGATGATGGCTTCTCTCTGGGAATATATATCAGTTAAGGCTGTTTGCCTTGCTTCAAGGTGGGTTGAGTCATTTTCTGTTTACCAAAGACTACATTAGGAATCTTATCTCTTAACTCCCTGTTTTTTTAAAAAATGGAATCTTAGCCTTAAGATGGAATCTCTCTTGTTCTAACTCTACTGTTTATATCTCAGCTTGTTTGGAAAATTAATCATGATGCTTGTCTCAGGTCCCTGCCCTATATCACAATGACCTCCCCTTTAGGTTTGATTAATTTGCTCACAGAACTGAGGAAAGCACTTAGGTTTACCAGTTTAATAAAGGATACCATAAAGAGTACAAGTTAACAGCCAGATGAAAAGATACATGGGACAGGGTCACAAATAAAGGAGCTTCTCTCCTTGTGAAGCTTGGGACCTGGCTCGGTGGCACGTGGAAGCATTCTGGTTCCCCAAGCATAGAAGCTCTCTCTCCAACAGATAATCAGGATCCAAGAGAGCAGAGAGTGATAAACTCTTCTCCAGGGTTATTGTGAGGGCTTCATTGCATAGTCATGATTGACTAAATTATTGACCATTGGTTGATTCAACCTCTGGTGCCCTACTCTTGGGTGGGGTCCAAAAGTCTCTCATTAACATGACAAAACACCCATTTAACATTTTGAAGAACTGCCAGATTGTTTTCCAGAGTAGCTGCACCATTTTACAATCCCAGCAGCAATGTGTAAGGGTTTCAGTTTCTCCACATCCTTCTCAACACTTAATGTTTTCTCTGTTTTGATTTTTAACCACTTTAGTGGGTGTGAGGTGGTATCTCATCATGGCTGTAGTTTATATTTCCCTGATAACTAATGAATTGTATATTCTTTTGTATTTTGGGGGTTTATACTTACATGTCTTCAGTAAAGTATAGAAGGTAGATCAGTGGTTCCTGGAGGCTATCACTGATTCAGGGGAGGAGTAATGGATGACTGATGAAGAGGACAAGGTTACTTTTTGGGGTGATGAAAATGTTTGAAAATTTCTTCTTCAGTAAATACTATAATATGTTTTGTTAGAAAAACCTCAGTTTTCCCTCCTATGTGTCTTTACTATTCACAGAACACTGCAGACACTTCTGTTCACCAAACGCATGGGTTTTTTTTCCCCACAATGCAGTTCTGCAACACCAGCTGCGTGTTCTACAAACTTAATTCTAACGCTGCCTGGACAGAGTGTCAGATACAGCAGGATAAGGGGTCAGTCCCACAAGACTGCTCCCTGCTCTAGATGCCAATCGCAAGTAGTAGGTCCCCAGGTTACCTACAACTTCTGACTTGGCTAGAAATCAGAGGTTCTTATGACTGCTTCCCCTATTGATTAATTTACTAGAGTAGCTCATATAAACTCAGGGTAACATGTTTACTAGCTTATTAAAGGCTGTGATAAAGGATACAGGTGAACAGCCAGATGAAGAGATACGTAGGGTGAGGTCTGAGAGGCTCCCAAGTTACTTAAAGAAAAAGTGTGGGCATCCTCAGAGAGGAGGTTTGCCTAAAAGACTGGGAGTTCCCTCTTTTAAGCATTTTCAGGAATGTGACAAAGGGCCAGGAGGTGTAGACTTGTCAAGTGGTCTCAAGATGCTTATTTCTGGTGAGAGACACTGTGTCTCCTCTCCTCTAACATCAGTCCTCCAGCTAATTCTGGAAAATAAACTTAACCCAAGAAATTTATTGATCCAGTTCCTCCTGAGGATGATGGCTTCTCTCTGGGAATATATATCAGTTAAGGCTGTTTGCCTTGCTTCAAGGTGGGTTGAGTCATTTTCTGTTTACCAAAGACTACATTAGGAATCTTATCTCTTAACTCCCTGTTTTTTTAAAAAATGGAATCTTAGCCTTAAGATGGAATCTCTCTTGTTCTAACTCTACTGTTTATATCTCAGCTTGTTTGGAAAATTAATCATGATGCTTGTCTCAGGTCCCTGCCCTATATCACAATGACCTCCCCTTTAGGTTTGATTAATTTGCTCACAGAACTGAGGAAAGCACTTAGGTTTACCAGTTTAATAAAGGATACCATAAAGAGTACAAGTTAACAGCCAGATGAAAAGATACATGGGACAGGGTCACAAATAAAGGAGCTTCTCTCCTTGTGAAGCTTGGGACCTGGCTCGGTGGCACGTGGAAGCATTCTGGTTCCCCAAGCATAGAAGCTCTCTCTCCAACAGATAATCAGGATCCAAGAGAGCAGAGAGTGATAAACTCTTCTCCAGGGTTATTGTGAGGGCTTCATTGCATAGTCATGATTGACTAAATTATTGACCATTGGTTGATTCAACCTCTGGTGCCCTACTCTTGGGTGGGGTCCAAAAGTCTCTCATTAACATGACAAAACACCCATTTAACATTTTGAAGAACTGCCAGATTGTTTTCCAGAGTAGCTGCACCATTTTACAATCCCAGCAGCAATGTGTAAGGGTTTCAGTTTCTCCACATCCTTCTCAACACTTAATGTTTTCTCTGTTTTGATTTTTAACCACTTTAGTGGGTGTGAGGTGGTATCTCATCATGGCTGTAGTTTATATTTCCCTGATAACTAATGAATTGTATATTCTTTTGTATTTTGGGGGTTTATACTTACATGTCTTCAGTAAAGTATAGAAGGTAGATCAGTGGTTCCTGGAGGCTATCACTGATTCAGGGGAGGAGTAATGGATGACTGATGAAGAGGACAAGGTTACTTTTTGGGGTGATGAAAATGTTTGAAAATTTCTTCTTCAGTAAATACTATAATATGTTTTGTTAGAAAAACCTCAGTTTTCCCTCCTATGTGTCTTTACTATTCACAGAACACTGCAGACACTTCTGTTCACCAAACGCATGGGTTTTTTTTCCCCACAATGCAGTTCTGCAACACCAGCTGCGTGTTCTACAAACTTAATTCTAACGCTGCCTGGACAGAGTGTCAGATACAGCAGGATAAGGGGTCAGTCCCACAAGACTGCTCCCTGCTCTAGATGCCAAT